CAGTAAAAACCTTGAAAGTCTGCAAAGGCAGCTTTCTTTTCTGTCTCAAAAATCACACCACTGCACAAATGGATTAATAATGAAATGAATAGTACACAATATTAATCATTAAACCAATTAAGAAAATGATAAAACCATTATTAATACCAGTACTAAAGAAAAGTAAAATAGAACACATTTCACTCTTTTCTTTTCACTGTTACACTCTAAAATAAAGAGAGATATGCAAAGATTAATTCAATAAAACTTTGATTATATTGATTGAAACCTCTAATAGAAGATTAAGTGAGATAACACAAGTATAGGACTTTGTCCTATTCACTTAAAGAAAATAAAAACACTTTAAAATGATTTTCTTCTTATAAGTGTAAAAATAAAATCAAAGACAACAAAAATAAACAATAGAAAAGTTTTTTTCACCAGGGTTACCTCTACACTCTCATTTCTCCACACGTCTCATTGTCTTAAACACAAACTGGATAAAGAAAAGGCAAAATAGGCCAAAATAAAACCTTTGTTGGACTTTCAGAAATCCCTTTGATGACAATCACTTTAAGATGATTTAAATAAAATCTGGTTCTTTGAAAATAATCCTTAAAAATGTAATTAGTTTCAAACTTTTTCACAGTAACTGTACAGTACAAATATGTTCTTTTATCCTGATTATTAGGTGTACACGGAGATGCTTCTACTTTAAATCAGGGAAATGTTTTTGTTCTATTTTCTGTCATAATTTATACAGTAGTAATAAATGTGTGGATTAATTTTCCTTTATTTCCAGGCTTTTGAAAGTAGAATAAGACAACGCCACCAACAAGCATCTCACCACAGCTCCCCACCTGCGCAGGATTTCCAGGGTTATGAAAGTCAAACAACAAAATTCCATCAAAGTGCATTTCAGCACAGCGCTACACCTGGTAAAATTTCATATGTTTGCATACAGGACAATACAAAAAAAAAAACATGTGGAAAACTACTTTAGTCTGAAGTTTGCAACCTGGCTTCCCTGACCCCTCAAACCTATTTAATGACCAATTTTGAAATGCAATAAATGTGACACTGTAGTTAGTCTGAGCTGAAACTATGGGGTGCCGTTTGTAAAGTTACAGTCAAAAATTACCACCAATATTTTTGTTTTATTTAGCCTTTTATAAGAAAAAAAATTTATTTTTCAAAGTCAGTTTTGGACCATATGATTCATACATTTATAAATGTCATAGTTTAAAAACTAAATATTTAACTTACAAATTAAATATTTAGTTAACAAGCTAAATATTTAACTTGTGACTTAAATATTTAGTTTTGAGCTAATTATTTAGCTTGAAACTTAAATATTTAGTTTTGAGCTAAATATTTAGCTTGAAACTTAAATATTTAGCTAGCTAAATATTTAGCTTGAAACTTAAATAT